CTCTGTAAACTTTAATTAAAATTAATTAAAAGAAAAGCAAAAAAAAATTGTAACCAAACACACCACCCCACACCCACCACCCCACCTGTTGGACAGTGGTACTCAGTAACACAGGGGCCATGTGAGCTAGAGCTGGTTTTTACTGGTAGGTCTTGGGAGCATTTGGAATGAATATCATGAAGGTGTGCTCTGTTTTCTTTCTTTGTAAAAATATCTGCTGAAAAGTTGTGCTCTCCTTGCAATGCAAAGGCATATGAGCCTCAGTCTACGAACAGTATGTCAGACCAAACTTTAAGGTTGTGGCATTTGCTGGAGCAGGGTAAGGTATCAGGGAATATATCAGGGGCTGTACTCTCAGTCACTGCAGAGCTTATAGGCTCTTGGAAAGAAAAGTGATGTGGAACAGAAAGTATCAATGAAGGATTTACGCCAAAGTTTAAGATAGAAGAGAGGCCACAGGGCAGGATGTGGCTGACTGCCTAGTGAGTGGTCAACTCATTGGTAATAGGATCATACTTCTGAGAGGGACAGACTTTATGCATGCTTCCTGTAGCACACATGCCAAATCCCCACATGAAAAGTTGGCAGCAGATGGGTCATGGTTGCACAATATAATTAATGTTATTAATCCCCCCAAATTGCACATTTAAAAGAATGATGAATTTGCAAGTGTTAGGTATATACTTTTAAGCACAGAACCCACTGCTATTGAGTTCTTTCTAAGCCAGGGCTGTCCTGTAGCAGCACTGCTATAAGATTTCAGGGCTGTAAATCACACTGTGACCTTCTCCTTTGGAAGAGATGGTGAGGTCAAACCACTGATGTTTTAGTTAGTAGCCTAGTTCTTTAACCACTGTGCCATGAGGGCTTCTTTATTTTTAACTTACACACAGAGAAGATGCCTTTCAACATTCATTTCACATGCATGCAACCAATCCAAATTCTTACCCACTCCCAGGGAGTTGGTTCTCACCACCGGTGACCTTCCACCGGATCTCTGAGGCCTATGGGAGGATATTGACTGCGTAGCCAGAATGCTCCTTGGAGGCAAGGATGACAAAACTTCATCTCACATTCTCTGTTGCTAGGAGATGCTATTCATTGGTGAGGAATACCATGCTTGGAAAGGTGGAGGGTCAGTGAAAGAGAAGAAGACCCTCAATGGGATGTATTGACACAGGGACTGTGGCAGTGGGTTCAAGTATATCAGAGAAGATGAGGATAGCACAGGATAGGACAGAATTCAAGTGTGGTGTTCATAGGATCACTGCGAGTTACACTAGACTGCCTTGGAGAGATTAGAACCACCAGTATTTTAGTTAGCACTGCCAGACCTCCAGGGCTCCTTGAAGATTGCTTACTTCAGGCATTTGCAGTTCTGTGTGGCATCTTTTTTTTTCCTGACCCTAGACGCTGAAGATGCCAAGCACAAGGCAGCTCTCCACAGTGGAGATGGTAGAGGACCCCCAACTTCCTCCTCCTCCCACTGCAAGTACCCTAGTCCCACCCTTTTCTCCAGGTTCCCTTGTGTGACTGCACTCTGACCACCCTGTGATGACACACCTCATATCCACCTCCACCAATTCCCCCTTCTCCCATTCCCTCCCTGTTTCCTGGCTCTCCTTCTGCATACACCACTTGTGCCTGAATCCAAAAGAAGATTTGCTTCTAGAAACACTTAAAAGAAAACTTTACATTGTCCTGGTATCCTCTTTAAACTACTATTTTCCCTACATTTTGGTTGCATCTTTTAGGAGAGGTGAAGAATTAGTCTATCATTCATGTTCCATCACAGCTTGTTCTTTCTTTTTGTTTTAAAGCCTGAAAACATAATGCTTTTGGATAGAAATGTTCCCAAACCTCGGATTAAGATCATTGACTTTGGATTGGCCCATAAAATTGACTTTGGAAATGAATTCAAAAACATATTTGGGACACCAGAGTTTGTTGGTAAGCCTCCTGATTTCTCACAAACATTTTGCTGTTTCCTCTCTGTAGGAACATGTCCCTGGTTCATGTTTCTGGTTTTTACATGAAGATAGAATTTGATGTTCACTTCCCTTTTCAACTAAGTCTCTGTTCATTTCCTCATAGCTCCTGAGATTGTCAACTATGAACCCCTTGGCCTTGAAGCAGACATGTGGTAAGGACCATGTCCTGGTGCTGTTGCTGTTCTGACTTAGTTGGTTGTTCTTCTGACGTGCTTCTTTGTCTTTGTGTCTAGGAGCATCGGAGTAATAACCTATATTCTGTAAGTACCAAATCCCACCACTCCTTCTTAGCCTTTCACTTTGAGATGTGTCAAATTGGTGTTTTCTACTTATGCGTGGGTTTTTTTCTTTGTAAACATTTTTACTTTATACCCCTAGAAAATAGGTTATACTAAATACACCTTTTCTTCTAATTCCAAATAATTCCTCAGAAATCATAACATAACTTTTAAAGAAAGCTTGCCTGTCAGTCATTAAGGAGAAAGTAGGAAAAAGGGGGGTTTAACTACTAGATGCCTTTCAAATAAACTTTTTTCTGTGAATCTTGCATTAAGCTAGAGCTTATATTCATGACAGTTAAATGTCCTTGTTGTTGTTATGTACCATCATGTCAGAACAGACTCGTAGCTGACCCTCTAGTGGATTTTCAGAGGCTGTAACTTGTGCAGGAAGAGATCGTCCATCCTTCTGCAGGGCAGATGGTAGATTCAGACTGTGCACCTTTGGGATTGCAGTATAGCTTCTTGCCACTTAGGCCATCCAGTGCTTCCTAAAAATGTAATTAAATTCTGAAGTACCTCCCTAAGAGCCAGAATAGAATCTTAGCACACTCTCTTCCTCCTTACATACCACAGAAGCAAAGTGGCCACAGAGAGAAGTAATCAATGTTTATCCCTCACTTTATTTTTAACAGTTTAAGTGGTGCCTCCCCCTTTCTTGGAGACACAAAACAAGAAACATTAGCAAATGTATCTGCTGTCAACTATGAATTTGAGGACGAATACTTCAGTGGTACCAGTGCCCTAGCCAAAGATTTCATCAGAAGACTTCTGGTCAAAGATCCAAAGTGAGTGTCATTTCCTTCATGGGCTGTGGGGTGGGGTTGGCCTAGTGTTAGAGCTCATGCATATGGGCCGGGCTCCTGTCCCTGCTGGTTGGCTCACTGGAGGACCTGCCTCACAGAGCCCAGTGGCCTTGCTCCCTTTCCACTCAGTCTCTGTGGGCATTGTGGAGAGACCCAGGTCCTTTGTCACTTTCTCCTGTGGTTTAGGCTCCAGACTGTGTTTTCTAAAGGGTCTTTCTACTTGGCTTGGTCAGCATGGAACAGCCATAGTGTTTGCTGCAGTTGTTATAGCATTGTTTCTTTTTCCTTCCTCCTCTGCTCCCAAAGGAAGAGAATGACAGTTAAGGACAGTTTGCAACACCCCTGGATCAAGGTAAATTGTCTTTTGTTTTGCTCTTAAAGTGGTTACCTTGAGTATAACATCCAGAAGTCAGACCAATGGCCATGGAGTCTGCTCTCCTCAAGCCAACATGTATGTGAGAGTAAGACTGTGCTCTGGAAGGCTGTCAGACTGGAGATTCTGAAGCAGAATCTGAGCTGCTAGGAAATGAACGTGAGTCTTTAACCTTTTGTTTAGCAGCTGAGCATGTTAACCATTTCTAACATTTCTAACACCCAGCGACTCCTAAGTCTGACAAGGCTTCCTGGGACTTATCAGTTCATAAGTTAGTCTGGATATTGTGTTGAGTATTATAAGTTACGCTGGGTATTTTAATAGATACTGTAAATTATTCTGGGTATTATATCGGGTATTACAAGTTACTTTGGCTCTTAGCAATAGCCTTCGTCTGGAGTGTTATGTTTGCTGTTATGCTATATCCTTGGAAACTGGCCAGCAAGGACTCTCCCAGTGACAGCTGAGGTGAAGAGGAGTAAGAGGCATGGATTTATAAACTGAGAGTCTCAAGAGTGAGTCCAGGCAATATTTCATCTTTGATTTGGGAAGAGTTGACCCAAACAGTACTTTTATGCTTTTTAATTTCCAGCATTTAAATATAACAAAACACCTGACTTTTCAGCTTCCTTTAGAAGCTTTGAAAATCATCTGGTAGCAAACCTTTCACTGACTGTGGCCTAGAATCTCAGCATGGCTGCACAGGCTCAGGGCTGGCAGCCATTGTAGTCAATCCCAGGAACATGCTTCTGTCACCAGCCTGGCTCTGCTGATATTTCGGTTAAAAAGATGAAGTGGCTTTTACAAAATACAAGAGTCTAAGGTTAAGGAAACACAACAGTTAGAGAAGAAAATAACAAAACCAAAAGTGGGCATTCCAGAAGCAGGTTCATGCAGCTGGGGCTCTGCCTGTGAGTCCCCGGTGTTAGTCTGAGCCATTTGAGATGGAGGTGGTAGGGGTAGACCCCGGGCCCCAAATGGCCACAGGAAAGGATGCAGTATTAGCATTCTGGTTATTGGTCATTGGAGGCTCGGGGTGGAGTGCTCTTCCGTGCAGAGAGCCAGGCTCAATTCCAGTCAGGACACCTCAGCACAGCATCACTTATCTGGTCATGGCAGCCACAGGTTGCTAAGATGCAGGACAGGTTTCAGTAGAGCTTCCTGACTAAGATGACCAACCCTGGTGATTCTCCTCAAAAAACCAGCCAGTAAGAGCTCAATATGGATGGCGCAACACCTGACCAGCTCAGTGACAGCCCACAGCAGTACTAAGGGCTGACCTCTGACTGTCTCTCCTCATGAGGCCTGAGTGGACTGTGCCACTCGCAAACTCTTGGTGTTAAAAGCTTTCGTCAGCTGAGCTCCACAGTCAGCTGTTCATTTATCCACATGTCCAGTCTTTAGCTTTCAGACCCTCAAATACAGTGTGCACCTGTGCAAGGTCCGGACCTTGCTTGCTATCCCAGTTTGGTATGTCATTTGAGTGCTGAGTAGTGAGAGGTATTCAGGCATCATTATTTAACATATTTGAGATTTGTAAATTTGATTTGAGAGTTGTAAATTATTTCCCTTGGATTTTCATTTTAGCCTAAAGATACCCAGCAAGTACTCAGTAGAAAAGCATCTGCAGTAAACATGGAAAAGTTCAAGAAGTTCACAGCACGGAAAAAATGGAAAGTAAGATTATTTTAATTATAGAGAAGTTAACAAATTTTCTTTTGTGGAACTCTATTCAAGTTTTCTTCTGATACTGGTGATGTGGGAAAAGTTCATATCTAGGTACCATTTTTGTTTTTTAATTTACTCTGTACTCTTTCGCACAGCTACAATATTTTTAGATCTAAGCAATGACAGTATTTCTGTCCTACAAATGATTTTCAAATATGATTTTTACATTTGTTCTAAATCAAAACTATTCTAAGGGAAATTTTCAGTTTGCCATAATAAAATTATAGTGGAGTCTTTTCCTAAGCACAGCAGACTAGATTTTAAATGTATTTGCTGCTTGTGGTTAGCAGCCTGACACTCCATTTACATCAGAGCTGGGGGAAATGGCTCACTACAGCTGGCCCCTGCGAGAGGTTTGACTGAGGCAGGCCACCAACATAGCAGAGTGCTGCTTCCCCCGCCCTCCATACATCTGGAGCCTGCGTGTACATGCTGACCTTCATAAACCTGGGGCTGCATGTGCACTCTGGCCTTCAGTGCAGCTTGGGGCTGCGTGTGTTCCTGGGGGCTGCATGTGCACCTGGGGACTGCATGTACACTCCAGCCCTCAGTGCACCTGGGGGCTGTGTGTGCATCTGTGGGCTTTGGGTGCACTGGGGGCTGTGTGTGCACTTGGGGGCTGTATGTGCATGTCAGCTCTCCTAGAGGCCATCATACCTGGCCACAGGGCAGAGTCCTTCTGTAACAAGGATCATGGCAGATCAAAGGAGAGAAGGTTTTTCCCTAGTGCCAGGCTAGAAATGTAGCTTATTTTCATATCAAGTTTGGAGACATCATAAGAGGAATGAGAAGACCAGTAGTTTACTTAAGACTTAATTCTTAGTCTCAGAGAAACCCTTGTAATAAAATTTAAAATGCACAGTGCACACACACACACGCACAAACAGACATATTTACATGTTACCTTTGAGTTACCTTGAGTATAAATGCAGAGGCATTCGTCTTACAGACTAAAGGTCTCCTAGCTTTTGAGGGTCTGTAAGATTTTATGGCTGAATTAGCAACCATTAGTCATGTACCTGCTAGACTGTCATAGGCCCAAAGTACACAGGCCAGGTCCCTGCCTGCTGTCAGGAAGGTAAAGAGGAAGGGTTCTCCATCATAAGATCACATGTCCAGAAAGCAGAGGATAAAGTCGTCAAAGAGAGGGGATATAGGCCTCCAGTTCTGTAGTTTTATAATGAAATGAAGGAGACACTGCCCCGTTTGATTTCTACCACTTTTAGACCTAGCCACTTACGCAAACACAAGCCACTCACCCGTGGGACCACTTACCCTGAGGAATGTGAGCTGTGAGCAATGCCTGTACCGTCCCAAAGACTCTACCATCAGCTCCCATTTGAGGATTGTTACATAAGCTCTGTTCTCTTCTACTCCTGCCCTGTTTTCTTCCATTGTTTTGTTTTGTTTTTAAAGCAATCAGTCCGCTTGATATCACTGTGCCAAAGACTTTCCAGGTCATTTTTGTCCAGAAGTAACATGAGTGTGGCCAGAAGCGATGATACTCTGGTAAGCAAACCTGTTGAGCTGGTGGGATTTCTTGGCTGTGTGTGGATATGTTTTTAGTTTATTCTACTTGTTCAGCAATCCAGAAAACATAAAGTCATGGAAATATCACAGCTGCTCTCATTTCTCTGGGGATAGTGGGTGGACAGAGGGCTGAGTGATTTGATGGACACTATTGCATTTTCTCCACTATGTTTCAGTTTCCATTCAGTCTACTCTCACCTGTACTACCAAACACACTCACTTTGGTAAAAGAGAGTAAAAGAGAATAGCCAGTAGAACAAAAGAGAGTTTATTGTAATTTGCACAAACTAAATTTTATTGTCACATTGGTTCCAGTTTATAACTACCCTCTATCAGTTTCCCGGGCTGTAATTTGCATTGGGAAGAAACTGTCCATCTTTCTCCCAAGGAGCCACTGGTGGATTCAAACCACTGTTGAGTTAACAGAATAACTTGCTCCTGACTGTGCCATCTTCATATTGCCACTGACGTGGGAGAATCATGGGCCACAGTAGTAGAGAAGTGATGGAGTCACCTTTCCATCTATAGTCACGCCTGGAGGAGAGTGATGCTGCATGCTAGCGTGGCTCTGCTAGACCAGAAGCCTAAGTCCACTTGCCTTGCTGCTATCATGAGCTCAAAGCTCATGAGAACAAATCTATGTCTTTTTCCTCCTCTAATCCAAATTAAAACCTAATTGCAGATTAACCCTTCAGATATGACTAAACACATCGTGATTAAATCAGACTGCCCTTGCCATCAAACAAACAGGGCTTTGCATAATCTGGAGGCCAGGAGACTCTGGAAGAGGAAGTTCCCATAGTGCTACTCGCTCTGTAACTGGATCTTCAGTGCTTCCTCAGTGGCATACAGGGATGCAGAGCTCAGGGCAGCAGAAACCAGTTTTTCTTTTTTTTCTTTATCCTGAAGTTAACTGTTTTACTGAGGAAGTAAATCTTCAGTGAGCTCTAATCTTCAGAATGAAAAGAGATTTTAAAACATGTATGAGAATGATTCAATAAAACACAATGTGAGTGGAAAATAATGTGAAACACAATGTATACAAATGTTGTAAACAAACTAATAGAAAGAAAAGAACACCAAAAAAGAGATGTTTTAAAAATCCAAAATACAAAAGCTAACCCACACCAAGCTGATTGTCATTCCCTAGACTGTGTCTGTGACACCCCAGTGCTCTGGAGCGTTATCAGAGTTTGAGCGTTAGGAAGAAATCACCAAGTGGGGAAGAAGCAAAGAGGGAGAGGAGGAAAGCTCAGCTGAGGAGCTGCTTGCGAGTGCTCTGGGAACCAGGAGAAAGATGAACTAATCTGGCAGTAAAATTGTGAATCACTTTAAGATTATCAGTTGCATTCATCCTGTATAGTTGGTTAGGAGAGACAGGTGACGCAAAGAAAGATGTATTTATGAGACACAGGCAGAGTCAAGTAGAAAATTCAGGCATGGACAGGGTCTCCAGACCTTTCATGGTCACCTCCCAGCCATGCTCATCTCAAGATGCATGAGAGAGTGGTTGCTTCATGTGCATGCCCCTACAAGTGTGTTTTTATCATCTATTTGGATTGTGGTATCTACTTGGATTGTGGTAGAAAAAAACAAGGATATTCTGAATCTGTAACCCATTAAAATCATATTAAAACCCTCATGAAGTTGGTTTGAGTTCAGAACTGTAGAGAAGGAAAGAAGTTTAAATAAATGCTTTCTCACTTCTGCCCATGAAAACATTCTCTCTCTGTGCATACACTCTTCCAGATTTGAAATTTAGCAGTCACAAGTATAAATAATGTACCTATTAAAGTATGTTGTTGTTGTTGATTGCCTTCAAGTCGAGCACGACTCATAGTGACAAAAGGTTTGAAGTCCACCTACAACTATCGACATTTATCAAAGTTCATAGAGTTTCCTGAGGCAAGTTGTTTAGGAAGTGGATGCTTCTCTTACTTCCAAATATTAAGGTATAAGGTATATTAATGTACCTATTAAGATATAAAGCATATTAATAAAACTAGTAGTTTTAACTCTCCACTAACAAATCCAGAAAATGTATTTGGGATTTTGTTTTTTAGGTTTATTATTTGGTTTAATGGTTTTTTAGGAATGTCTTTTTATAAGAAAACTCTGATGATACAGAATTCAACTAACTTCATTTTGAACATTATTTTCTCTTTATACTTAGAAATGTATTCATTTGCCTTACCTTATTTTTACTTCTCTCCTCATTTTTTGTCCAAGTTTTTAAATAAAAACCAACTTTGATAGAATTTTGCCATATTGTTCGACATTTAGAAAAGTGACCACAAAGTGAAGATTGAAAGATGGCAATTTAAAGATAATGTATTCAAAGATAATAAATAGTTCCCTCTCCTTTGTGGTTTTTCTTTTTTTCCCCCTTACCCAGGAAGAAGGTCCCGCACATCTCTAGTTCCACTGGGAATTTTCCACAGTGGTGTCTTAGGTGATATTTTGATAGATATTCTTCATTCAGATGAACACAAAGGGTAGATAAACCTGAAAGCAGTTTGCTTTCTGCGTTATAGCTCAAGTGGCATTGTGGCCTTAGTAAATAGGAGATGGAATTGACTACTAACATGAAGATGCACAAAGTAACTCCCTGTTTCCCTTCATTACCATTTGATGTTAATTAGTGGCTTACTGAGCTCTAAATCTCCCTTTAACAAATAAGCACTGATTTCTCTGATGTAAATAAGGAGTTCAGAGCCAACAAGCTAACCATTCCTTTCCCTTGCCACTGTCTCCCTCAAGGATGAAGAAGACTCCTTTGTGATGAAAGCCATCATTCATGCCATCAACGATGACAATGTCCCAGGCCTGCAGCACCTTCTGGGCTCTCTGTCCAACTATGATGTCAATCAACCCAACAAGGTCAGATACATCAGTATCTGGTGGGTGGGCAATGGTGAATGGGCACCTAGAGATCGAGGGTGGACAGATGTCATCTGCTGTTTCATTGTCTCTTCCAGTTAGAAACACCATACTGCCAACAAGTCATTTCTGTTTAGAGAGAACTTAGAAATTAGGTCACTTTTGCAACAGAAGAGGGAGAGAACTGTTTAAAAGGGTTATATGATTAGGTATTATTGTCATGACAGGAGTCGAGAATGAAGGCTGCACAATGCAGTAGACTTAAGGGGAGGGATTGCATAACAATAGAAGAGTTTTTCTTTTACTCATCAAGGAGAAAAGTGAATTGGGGGAGACAGGGTGAGCAGGGAGAAAAGTGCAACAGTGAATGACTGGAAACCCTAAGTCTCTGTAAACTTTCATTGTTGTTGTTATGTGCCGTCGAGTCATCTGCGACTCATAGTGACCCTATGTACAACAGCCCTAAAATCTGCTCTGTCCTGTGCCAATCCCATTGTCTCCCACATACTCACCCTGATTGCCCCAGTCACCGTATCAGTCCACCTCCCAGAGGGCCTTCCCTTCCTGTGCCTGCCCTCCACCCTCCAAAGCATAATGTCCTTCTCCAAGGACTGATCTCTCCTTACAACATGACCAAAGTGTGTCAGACGAAGCCTCAGAATTTTTGCCTCCAACGAACAGCTGGTTTAACCCTCTCCGGGATGAATATTTGTTCTCTTAGCAGTCCATGGCACCCTCAACACTCTTTTCCAACACCAAAGCTCAAAAGCATCAATTCTTCTATCCTCCCTGGTCGTTGTCCAGCTCTCTGACACATAACAAGTGATTGCAAAGACCATGGCCTATACCAGACGCACCTTAGTCTCCAGAGACACACCTTTGTTCTTCAGTACTTTAGAGAGGTCCCTAACAGCAGACTTTCCCATCGCAAAATACATCTTTTAATTTTCTGGCTGCTGGTGCCAAGAGTGTTGATTGTGGAGCCAAGTAGACTAAAGCTGTGAACAATCTCAATCTCTTCACCATCCATCCTGATGCTGCCAATTGGTCCAGTGGTGAGAATCATTGTTTTCTTGACATTGAGCCCCAGTTGAAGTCTGCAGTTCTTGACCCTCAGCAGCAAGCACTTCAGGGCCTCCTCAGTTTCAGCAAGCAGGGTTGTGTCATCTGCATAACGCACATTGTTGATAGATCTTCCACCAATCCTGATGCCACATTTCTCCTCATAGAGCCCAGCTTACCGGATGATCTGTTCTGCATATAGGTTGGAAAGGTATGGAGACAGGACACATCCCTGGCGTAGACCCTTCCCAATTTTGAACCGTGCAGTGTTTCCCTGCTCTGTTCTGACAACTGCCTCTTGGTCCAAGTATAAGTTTCGCATTAGCACGATCAAGTGTTCTGGGATTCCCATTGTTCTCAGAGCCAGCTACAGTTGTTATGGTCCACACAGTGAAATCCCAGAAACTTTCATTAGAATTAATAATAATAATAATAATAATAACAACAATAATAATAATAATAAAAAAGAATACCATCCATGAAGAACATAAAAGACGGAAGAAAAGGAAAAACCAAAAGGGATGTCAGAAGAGACTCTACAAATTGCACTAGTGTGTCAAGAAAAAACAAGGGAAAACATGTTCCCTTAAAGGCTGCAGCCTTGGGAACCATATAAGGCACTTCTACTCTGTCCTGTAGGGTACAAGTTAGAATCTACTTGGTGACAATGAGTTTTGCTTCTGATACTTGTGGGTTTAATAAATAAAATATTTTTAAAATAAAAAAAAGAAATGAGGTCCTTTGCTTTCAGGGTCTTTCTTCATTCAAGGCCTTTCCACAGACATGTGTTGCCCCTGTCTTTATTCCCAAGTGCTATTGGAATAGAAAATACCACAGCTTTAATGAGCATGCATTTATTTTCTCAGCATTCAGGAGGTCTCTAAGTCCAAATTAAGGATGTGACTCTAGTTGTGTTAGGTGCCATCAAGTCTACAATGCCTTGTAGTGACACAATGCACAACATATCTGAACCTTGCCCTTTTGTGCACCATCCTCATCATCTCTGTCATGCTTAAGCCCATTGAGCCATGTCAGTCTCTCTCATTGAGAATCTGCCACTCTTTCAGCAACCTTCCACATCTCCCAGCATGTCTGTCTCCAAGGTCTGCTTCCTCCTAAAATTATACCCAAGTGAGACAAAGTTTTGCCCTCCTTGCCACTAAAGAGTACTCAGGTTGCACTTTTTTCAAGATAGATTTGTTTGCTCTTTTTGCAGCACATGACATAGTATTCTTCACCAACACTACAATTCAAAGATGGCCATTCTTCTGTCATCCATATTCATGTTCAACTTTCACATGTATACAGAGCAGTTGCAAAGACCGTGGCTTGCATCAAGTGCACCTTGGTTTTTAAATTGATGTCTTTGCTCTTTTGAACTTTGGAGAAGTAGATTTCCCTTATGCAGTGTCTTGACTGCTTCTACCAGTGATGTTGATTTGGGATCCAGGTAAAATGTGATCTTCATTTTTGACAACTTCAATCTTTTCTCCAGCTATCATGATGTTGCCTCTTGGTCCAGTTGTAAAGATTTTTGTTTTCTTGATGATGAGCTGTAATCTATATTGAAAACTGTAGGCTCTGATCCTTTGCAGCAAGCATTTCATTTTCTCCTCACTTTGAGCAAGCAAGATTGTGTCATCTGTATAGCCAAGTTTGTTGATGAGTCTTCCTCTAATCCTGGTGCTACATTCTTCTTTATTTGGTCCAGCCTCTTGAATTAATTGATCAGCATTAAATTGAATAGGTATGGAGAAAGGATACAACCTTGATGCACACCCTTTTCTGTTCAGACTACTTGGTCTAGCTGTAGGTTTTTCATGAGCATTGGTGAGTATTTTGGGATTTCCATTTTTCTCAGTGTTACCCATAATTTGCTATGATTGACATAGTTAAATATTCTTGCACAAGTAAACATCTTCTAGGTACTCTCTGTTTTCTACCAAGATTCATTTGACATCAGTAATGAAATCCCTTGGTCCATTGCCATGTGTGAAACTAGCTTGAATTTTTGTCAGGTCTCAGTCAATGTTAGTTATTATTGAATGTTGATAGCTGTTTCTTCTCATTTTGAATCTTGTCACATCAGCCAGTGAAGGCCATTCATTCATTGAAAGCATTAGTCCATCCATGTCATTACATTAGACTATTTAAGGAGGCAGCTCTACCCTAGTCATGTGCCTTCCAACTGAAGGGTCTCATTTTCTGGCTCCATATATCCATCAAAACTCTTCTGTTTTCCATGAGGTTTTTAAAGGCCTGTTGTTTTAGAAGTGGATTGCCAGTCCTGCTTTTTAGTCTGTCTTAGTCCTGAAGCCCCGCTATTGCCTGCCTACCAAGGGTGCCCCTGCTGTCATTCCACATCAGTGATAGAGCTTTTAGTATCCCTTTCAGCACCTTGTCCTTCCCACTTTTAGTACCTGTTGTCAGTCCTTGCCACACCTGTGTTTGTAGGTGTATCTTCTCTGTGTGTCTGCCTTTCTACAGTCTTTCCCTTGTGTCTATTCAGTTCTTATGACTCAGAAGTTATTAGTTTTAGGATCCACCCTACCTTTGTCTGTGCTAATTAACATAACAAAGGGAACTCTATCACCAAACAAGAAATTTACACAAACAGAAATTAAAGTCTCAGCACATATTTTAAAGGTCACAGTTCTATCTGTAACACATCTCTACCCCCCTGCAATTTTTTAAATTGTGATTTTAATTAAAGTTGGCAGAAAAGTTGGATTTTCATTTATTCATGGTTGCACCATTTTCCTACCTTCCCTCCAGTTCACTTTTTAAAAAGAAAAAAATATTCATTGTTGCATAATTTCCTCTCTTCTCGCCACCCCTTCCCAAGTCCACTTTGCTAAGCATCTCTTATTCTCAACTGTTGTAATACAAATAATGCCTAATCAGATATTCCTTTTAAACAGTTATTTCATTCATCTATTCATTATTTATCCCCTCTTTTCTTTGTTACTCTCAAATTCCCACATCAGTCCTGCTTTATAACAGTGGTATTATATAGTATTTGTCCTTTTGTGACTGAGATATTTCACTCAGTATAATGTCCTCCAGGGTTACCCATGTTGTGTAATATCTCATGAGTTCTTTGTTTTTTAGTGTTGCATAGTATTCCATTGTGTGAATATATCATAGTTTCTCTATCTATTTACTTGTTGATGGGCACTTGGGTTGCTTTCATCTCTTTGCTATTGTGAATAATGCAGCAGTAAACATGGGTCTGCATACATCTGTTTGTGTGGAAGCTCTGTTTTCTGTAGGGTATATTCCTAGTAGTGACATTGCTGGGTCAAATGATATTTCTATTTATGACTTTCTGAGAAAGTGCCATACTGCCTTCCATAGTTGTTGCACCATTTTACTTTCCCACCAGCAGTGAATAAGAGTTCCAATCTCTCCATAACCTCGCCAGCATTTGTTGTTTGCTGCTCTGTTTAACTTTGCTATTGTTACTGTGGTGATACAGTATCTCATAGTTGTTTTGATTTGCATCTCTCTGATAACTAGCGATTTTGAACCTTTCTTCATGTGGCTATTTGCCATCTGAATGTCCTCTTTCATATCTATTAATATCTTGTGCCGTCTTGTGATTAGTTTGTTAACATTTTTCTTGTTGAGGTTCTGGAATGTTCTATAAATTTTAGATCTAAATCCCTTGTCAGATATGTTACTGCCAGATATTTTTCCCAGTCTGTGGGTTTCCTTCTTACCCCATTCTTTTGATCCCCAAATCCAAGAAACTGGAAATGTTCATCTCATAAATGAAAATGCCATCTTTAATGATGAGTCTGAGAGAGTCAGCACCATTATGTCCTGATTATTCTGTTTCTGTGATGCAACAACCACTGCATAACTTTGAGAATAGCAAAGGTGTACCAGGAACCAGGATTTCCTTTCTCCCCAAACCTGCAAAAGTGTATCCTTTTTTTTTTTCAGCATGGGACACCGCCATTACTTATTGCTGCTGGCTGTGGGAATATTCAGATGCTTCAGTTGCTCATTAAAAGAGGCTCAAGGATCAATGTCCAGGATAAGGTTATAATTCTATTTTATTGTTAACAAAGTTTAAATATCTCCATATGTCTTAATTATTGAGTAACATAAAACAAACACTTGTATCTGTTTTCTATAAAAGGAGATGAAATGCTTTAATAGTATGGGCAATTTAATGCATGTTAGTAAGAAAAAGTAAACTTATCTTTCTGTTGGCTTTGATGCGCAAAAAGGTTTTGCATATTAATCAGATTTTATTTCTTAATAATCACATTTACTCAACAATGTTAATATCAAATTTAGAAAAGTTATTATTAGTCTAATTAATCTCATCAGAAATTTATTTCCTTCCATGCTTATTAGCGAAATAGAGGGGGGGAAAAATAACACAGGTCACAATAGACCTATAGACAGACACAATTGATTAACAGTTGATAATCATTGCAGTGGTTCCATTTCAATTGGTAAGTCATTAGCTTATATAGATTTTCAACAGACCTTTATAATACAGAAAATTCTAAGCAAAGTTTAAAGTGAGTTTTGTTTTTGTTTCAAGGTAACTTGTACTTTGAAATAATTTTAGATTTATTTTAAAACATTGTAAAGAAGGGAAGTGAATTCTTCCTGTGCCTTCCATTAACTCCCCTAACGTTAACATCTTACATAACCATGGTACTTTTGTTAAAACTGGAAAATGAAACAAAGTCTTTATTCCTCTTGGAAGTTCTTTCCTGGGGTTTGCCTTCATCAGGAGAGGAGCAGGCAGGTGGAGAGATGCTTGCACTCAGTGTGTGAATGTAACTCAGTGTTGATTTTCTGCAGGGAGGATCCAATGCCATCTACTGGGCCTCTCGGCATGGTCATGTAGAAACCTTGAAATTTCTCCATGAAAACAAATGCCCTTTGGATGTTAAAGACAAGGTAAGACTCTTTTCTTGGTAGATGCAACAGGAAATAGTAAAAGAATATGTTAGAAGTTGGAATGCCATACAAATGCGGACCCGAGAAAGTGTTTAGGACCACAGTCATCTTGCAGAGAGTTTAAATGGCATGTTTCTTTTTGCTGAGAACTTGGTCTTATCTGCTTTTAGCTGAAATCTCTAGATAATTTCCATATTATGTAAGCAGTAAATTCTTTTTTCACTCAACATGAAAAGGCAGTTCTAGTAGAAAGACAGCAAGGAGTCCTGGACTCCATTCACTGTTGACTCACTGTGCACTCTTAAACAAATATTTTTCACCATAAGGATTAAAGCTTTTATGGAAAGGAATATATAATACTCATTTATCAAGATATTTTACTTTCATGTCATATGTACCCATGTGTCCTTCACTCATTGTTCATCTTATTTATTCTGTTGTATATCACATCTCCATTTCAAGTACTTATTATTTTGTCAGCTCAGCCAGGTTTATGACATAAAGGTATACAGATTATACACCACATAAGAGTATCATAAAGTGCAACCATTACATCAGAGAGATAAATTTATTATGGCAGATGGCAGCTTTATAGCAAATAGCAATAAAGAATCTTGTTTGTTTTTGAAA